TTCTTGCCGTAAATGTATATCCATGCTCATTTAATATACCATTCACGTGTACTTTGCTAGATAAAATGCCGTTTTCAATCATCACTGCGGGCCTGTGTGCTTTTTCGAAGAAATTGCTGCCTGTTGAAGTGTTTTATCTTAACTATGTACCTACTTTTTTCAAATCTTGTTTTCGAACTACTAACTGTAATTTCTAACATTTATTACGCGAACGTTGCGCTGTCAACAGCTGGAAGTGGCTGTGCGAAGTTCGCCGTCGGCTGTCGTGCATTTTCACTCATGGATATGGACCCCATGTGTGGCTTGAAACTGGTCAAGATATGTCGTGAAACGTTGCGTGAGTAAGTTGTTATATGAAGTAATTATTAAATTGAAAACTTTTCATTTTTTATAGAATAGTTCAGCAAACGAGGAGACCTGATGGTAAGCAATCGGCGCCGCCCATGGACCACTAAAAGAGTTACGAGTGCGCTGACGGCCTTTTGGGAATAACGGTTTCGGAATTGGGAAGGTATGAAGGAGGGGAGGGATTGGGCCTGCGTTACCCTCATTTACTCGACGAAAGACAACTCTGTGGTTGTTTCACGCCAGTTTTCAGTGAGGCTGTGGTATCACTCCGGTCGAGCCGACCCATTCGTGCCGAAGCATGTCTCTCCCATACTTAATCTAAATCATTCTGAATCTCCCACATTGTGTGGTAAAAAAGACTAGTTAGGTACATAGTTAAAGTACAAAATAAAATAATGCAAAATAAATAAACTTAATTGGCAGATAAATGTCGCTAATAAACCTATTTATTAAATGTGCACACGAATCAGATGTATCTATAGGAGATTTATGTTTATAGCTAAACAACTTATTGATAGGACCTTAAATTATAGGCAAAATACATTCCTCACCTGTGACCCCTAAATAATTACAGGATGATTTACTACTTAATTATCATAAAACATGACAACACACTGTACCGGTTCTGATCATAGACAATTTTAATGCAACCTACTTTTAGTAGATACTCGTAAAAACAAAATGGTGGATGTAGCTAACAACACAGATTATGCTTTCTTTTTGACATGCATTTATTTTGTACTACGATTTTGTACCTTCTTTATTCTTCGGTATAATAGTTAAAAGAGGCTACTTTATATATGTCTTAATTTTTTTTAGTAATATCTTAAAAAAAATGTCGTGGTGGAAAAAAAATGTCGTGGTGGCCCGGAGGTTAAGGCGCCCGCTTCTCATGCATGAGGGTGCGGGTTCGAAACCTGGCAAGTACCATGTTGTGGTTTCCTGTAAGTAAAGGCGCACACGTACGTGAGAATATTGTCATTTATTAGTTGAGATCCTAAATAAATTAATTAATTAAAATAAAACAGAGAACGGGCATTAGAATCTCTCTGATAATAAAACCTTCAAACTGCGATCTCCTTAGTCTCCTTAGTCCTTAGTTATATTGTAAAAAACAGTAATGTGGAAATCAAAACACAATGTGCTATAAAAAAACTGCGACCTACCTCTTCCTACCAAGTGTATAATATGTATACATAGACTAGGGCGAACCTTTTTAATTCTGACCAGCAATAAACTACGGCCTTCATCATCATACATGAGGAAGAAAACATTGGAAATTCCGAAGTTGTACAACTCTGAGCTATTACATTACTCACTTAGATAATAGTAGAAATAAAAGCAAAGAAAACTCATCGTAAAAAAAATGTAATATTAAAAAAACACATATGTGTTTTTTGTATTTTTTTATTATCATAGCATTATGCCCTCGTCAAAAGAAGAAATTAATTTTAAGGAATGAAGCCAAACCTATTATGTTACTACCTATATGTTATCTACAAATAAAATAAACTTCAATCCCGAAGATATTTCTCCTTGCCTTCCAAAGTAACGGCTCAATGTTGAGACGTGATAATATTGTTAGTGATATTATCACTAAATATAGCTATTGATGGAGATCTTCGACAAGACTTATTGGAAAGCTCAGCTTACCCGCTTGGAGGCAGGCAACTGATAAGAATATGGATGTTCGTCATTTGTTTTCAGATACTTAGCTTTCCTAAGCTTACTTCGACCTGGATAAAATAATACTAAGACAGATTTTCTCCTCTCTCTTTTAAATTTGTCTAGACAATACCAGTAAATTTAACATCATTATTCTTCAAAGAGACAGCAAACTTCTAAGCTGAATTTGAATAAAAACATAGTTATGTAGCATTTGTTTCCAACAGCAAAGTTTTCAAGATGTTTCCCTAATTAAAACATTCTTTGGAACTATAATGAATATATTTGTATAGGTATCATTTTAAGTATCTCACCCGAATTCAAAATCTTCGTTCGAATTTTGACACGTAAGTCGCCGATGCAGTTGTCAAGCAAAAAGTTTTAAAAACTTTAGCTCTAGATATTTTGGATTAATATACATAGATTGTAAAATTCGTCCGTTCGAACATTTAAATCTACTGCAAACAAAATCCCATTAGCTCACAAAACGAAACACTCCAATATCCCCTCCTTCCGTTCGGGTTGATCATTACCTACGCCAGCGCCACACACGTACCTACAACTTTATTTTAAAACATTTCAATAGAAATCATTTACTCATTCCCAAGTAACGTGGGCGCCACAATCGCCACATAACATGTTATTATATACTTTTTTGTTTTAAACAGCTTTCAACGCTGTTCACTAGGTTTAAGAGTTCCATAGGTAATATGGGATACTATTAAAAAGACTCTACTGTCCATCTGTCTTTCTAAGCCACTTTGTCTCATGAGAATTTTTAGGTTACAGTAACTATCGTGACAGATACTAAATTTATAGAAATTAACGACTTAGGTACTCACGTGAATTAACTGAGCAAGCTCGACTAGTTTCAAGTCACAGCGGGACTCTTATTTGTTAACAGCGTGCGCGTCGCGACGACATCGCACAGCCGACTCTTTTTGAGATATTTTGTGCAGTTGTTGCTTGTCAGTTGTAATTTTCACTGATAATGGAATTCTATTGCCTTTATAATATATAATAATAAAAATAGAATCAAATTAAGTGAAAATTAAGACTATTTATCAAAAATGTTCTGTTGTCGTTTTTTACAGATTGACTACAGAACCCGTAGCGCACGAACGGTCTCATACTTGGCTGGTTACTATTTTTTCATTCGTTTGCATCGTGCACAGTACCTTTCATTATTTCTATAATTATTTGCTTCCAGTTATTTGCACTAACATATTACGCGTTTAGTTTTCTATCTAAATTGCAGAAACTAAAAGTTTTCTTTATAATAAATGTGTTTTTTATCCTACTGTTACAATACTGAATATGAAATTGAATGTATGGGATTTTTCTTCGACAAATTATACGAAAATAAAGCATAGGTTGAATTTTCTATTTAGTGAGGCAGTGTGTGACATCAGAGTGCTTGGAGCTGTTAAAGTCAACGTGATATACACATTCATGACGTTCAGACTGATTGGCCAGCTCCAAGTTTACCATCCCGTCACAGGCTCTCTAAAACAAACTTGAAATAGTCACTCAGAGTTCCAAGTGCCTGTACGCTAACGCGATGAACATGTTACCTACCGCATTTAGCCCTCTGATTTCGCAAAGGTCCGGCCCGAAGCAATAAAAACGGGGTGATTTTTAGTCAGTAAGTGTCTGATACTCCCCATTCTCCCACCTAGGGCGGGAGAAGGTATAAGACGCTTTCACCCTCTCAAAAAAAAATGGTTAGTTAACCTAGTCGCAATATTATACGGAACAAAATACTATATCCCGACCATTGTTGAGAGCAAAACACAATGACATAATATAGCTTTGGCTCAGAGTTAGAAGTGGGGCTCGAGTTTTTGGCAACGAGATCAGTAAAAGTTTGACACTCTCTCTAGTGAGAGGTCAAGCTCAGATGAGATCTCTCAAAATATTTTCTTTGAAATACGAGGCGTGAAAGCAAACGATGCATATTTTTTTATTGTTTATAAATGAATAATAATTTATTTCATGCCTTACTTTACAACTATCTTAATCATAGTAGCTGCCTTAATGGAAGATAAATAAAATAGCATTTTTATATGACCCGTGACAGTCGATTACTGGCAATATTGACCTCCTCTAGACAGGAGTGTTTGCTTTATAATCTAAAATGGCCGTACTCCATGTGTGCTCCGCTGTGCCATATGACAAAGCCTTAGTGAGTTCCACAAAAATACTCCCTCGCTGTCCGAGTGATGACCAAAAGACCGGCCGATAGCTGTGTGATCACTGTATGATGTGAGCACTTTATTTGATCTACAAATTGTTCTACCACAGCTAGGTGTGATCTGTATGTGAATGTGTATGTTTCAAAGCCCATCTACGATACCGGAGAACTTAGTACATAAATGGCGCACCACCTTTTAAAAAATAGAGTGGTAAATCTCTTTAACTTCTCTAAAAGTAGTTCCTATACATAAATCAAGCGAAACTAACCACAGTGTTTCCTTCCAAGCAGTACGGAATAAGCCGCTAACCAGTCCATTCATATAATTCCTAGAAGCAAGGATTAATTAGCAAGCACCGAGGAAAGACTAAAGAATTACGGCACAGTCGTGGTGTTTTATAATTTTCCGTAATTGGACAGAGATAATTAATGACCATTGGCTATGGTTCCCAGATCCTGTGTAGGCTTTGCTTGCAACGTTGCAAATTACAAATAGCTACGTTTTCTAAACATTAAATCTTGTTTTTATTGTGAATACGAATGAAAATGACTATATTCCACAGGTACTTTATATTCTGTCCAATAAGAAAGACGATACTCCACTTAGCTTAGTTTGAGATTGGATTGGGAGCTCTGGACATCATTTCTAAGCACTAAACATACCAACTACAACGATTCTTCGAAACTAAGTGTAAGTAATTAAGTGTGGGAGAGCCATGCTTCGGCACGAATGGGTCGGCTCGACCGAAGTGATACCACGGCCTCACAGAAAACCGGCGTGAAACAACCACAGCATTGTGTAAATCTCCAAATCCCTAATCCCTAAAATGTCGGCAACGCACTCGTAACACCTACGTTGCGGGTGTCCATGGGCGCGGCGCTGATAAACTTACTATCAGGTAATCCGTCTGCTCGTTTGCCCATCTATTACATAAAAAAAACTATTCGGTTGCTTATTTTAATATGATAGTGTTTAACGGCTTACTAACGTAACAGTTTGACGAGGAACTCGATTAGTTTCAAGCCGCGCTAAGGACTCATATACATGAGCAGATTCATATTCAACACGACACACGACGCGCATTTTTCGAAATTTTATTATTTCTGCCATAAAACCTAATCATTACTAATCCTCAATTACCTACAGTTACCAATTATCTAATATTATTGACAAATTACAAATTTCTGAATAAGCTTATTAGAAATACATTAAAGTTATTATCCCTACCCCCGGCGAACGTGAATTGACTAAAGACTAGACATTTGACAAGTACGTGATTGGGGCAATGTACCACATCACAGCATCAGGAGAAGGAACTGAGAGGTTTTTAGTCACTAAGAGCCTGACAATCTGTTTCTCTCAATCAGATTCTCCATCCTCAATTAAAAGTGCTAATAAGATTGAAAAGAATGGCAAATCTCCTGTAGAGAAGACCAGTACGTCAGTAAACTATTACTAATGGTAGATAATGATGACTACAATTTCGGTCTCTGTAAATATAAACTGGGTATTTAATAAACAAATTTATTCCACTCGGTTGTCACCAAACGATTTTAGTAAGTAAACTAAGTAACTTAAGACACACGTACGTAATAAATTTCCCCACACTTCGTGTTAAAGTATTTAATACAGATTACAAAGTGTAAACGCAGATTCTTACAGCTGATTACGAGTACAAACGACTTGAGACCGCAAACGGCTATCTTTCAAAATCTCCACATAAAATACAAAGTTAATGAAAGTGCATTCCTACTTGTTTTTAACACCTTTTTAAAAAATACCGTTCATGGCGAAATCATGAACTCAACACGCCATCTTTTGTGGGACAAGAGCAATAACGTACCGCGGCCAAAGCCTGGAGCGGGAGAAGGAATCGATTGGTTTTTAGTCAGTAAGAGTCTGACATTCCCTCTCACTTCACCATGGCCGAGAGAAGTCAATTTAATGATAGTCCCCGACCTTAAAATTTAAAATGCCTATAATAATTCAGTTTTATTAAAAACTAGCTACTCTCACGCGGTTTCACCCGCTACTCGGCTCCATTTGATTGTAGCGCGATGTTTTATAGCCTATAGCACTCAGGAACATTGTAGGTAGCTATCTGTCAGTGAAAGAATTTTAGCAACCCGACCAGCGGTTTCAAAGATTACCCCCTACAGACAAATTTACAAATTTTACCTCTTTGTAATATTAGTATAGAAAATCAAAGCGTTCTATTCTTGAGAATTTTCGAGAAACGGTACCTAGTCAGGGGTTAAACATGCAATTGCACTCTACCAATTTTAAAATGACCAAAATATCTTTGTAGAATAGAGTCAATGGTTGACGACTGCTTTAATTTATAGCATAGAATATAAATTATTGAATAAACTGGCTGTGAACCATTGAACTTTCACTTAAAGAAATTTTAGTCATTTTAAAATTGGTAGAGTGTAAATACATTTTTGGCCCCTGACTGTACGTACTTCGCGCAATCACGGAACTGAAATGACCCTTACATAGTTGGCCAATGCGTGATAAAGTTATAATTCTCAAATTTGACAATTTAAAGTACCTACTTTTAATGTTTTTCTTAATACCGTCTGCATACATATAACGAATACAAAAATAACAGCGAAATAACTTACAGTTTTATATAATTCGATAAGTGTTCCGATAACAAAAACATTGGTTAGCATAATGCAATAATTCGGTTTTTGGTATGTTTCATTAATTAGTGAGGTTCATTTGTAGGTCATTTACAGTTTGAAAATTCACAGTGTTAGCAAGGTGTCTGATGTTATCTTCTGTCGGTATTTATCCTTTTCCAGAACTAATAACAAGATTGGTGATAATTTGGTATAAGTACTTTAATGTGTAACACAAGAAGAATTCACAAGGTACCAGTTTTCACCCCTTTTCCCCCCAAGCCAAGTTCCGTGTCGCTAGATTTTCAAATGTCATCGATAAGTCACGTGGTCAACGACTGAAGTCGCGTACATTTGTTTCGATAACGTTTATCGATATAAACTTGGCCCTAATAAGATCTTTTATAAACTACACATTAGATCATTTAGTATCCTCTAAAGAGGTCGAAATACACCCTAATATTCTGATTGACCCGGGCTTCGTACCCAAAGAACCGTACGTCGACATACCTATGTACGTGTAATTTGAAAACATTTTTAATTAAAAATTCCCAAACTTAAAATACATAACTGACTATCTATATCATAAAAAAAAACACATCACAGATTTGGATCTACATTATTATAACAAGTTACGTAAATCAAAATTTCACAGTTCACACACACGCAATCATGGGAGCGGAAAGCCTTACATCCCTAATAGCACATTCATGAGGTCGTAATATCCTGCAAGGTATCCTTACCGGGGCAAACCAGTAGTTACTTACTCTCTATCATACTAATTTAGTGTTATCACTTCATACCAAAGCTTACCTTCAACTACACTGCAATAAATCCCCCCTGACCTTTCAGCCAAAGTATTTATAGCACAACTCTAATCGCTTTGAAATATTGATATTGGACAGTAAATTTCATGCTAATGAGACTGGCAACACTGGCTAGAGGTGCGACCAGGAACTAGTGGGCATTAACAAGATGGCCCGCTTAGAATAATGGCACAGATTATATTTATTGGAGCATAGAGAATGAATGAGCGGTTCGAAGAACTGTTATGTTTAATCTATGCAGTCGATTGATATTGAATATTTTAAGATTGGTAACACTGTAGGTGTTGCCAGGAAGACGGAAGGCAACGTTTTGTATAATTTAGTTTTTCTAAATTATACAATTTATTTGGCTGTTTAATCAAGAATTACTGATCTTTTTCTAATGACGCGCTTATCGTCATTAGTAAAAGATAAAACATCCCCATTTGACACTATTCTAAACAAAATGTTTTGGATCGTAGAGCTCCATAATTTTATTAGAGGATTTATAAATGACAACAAGGCATTTCGAACTGCCCCATAAACATCAGAATCAATTATATTCTAAGACAAAAATAGAGCAATAAACCTGTATAACTTTGCAATCAAAGTCGAGAAAGCTGAAAATTTATATCGTTGGAACAACGAACTAACTTATAGTCCAATATCTTTCGTTATATCAGTCAACAATTTAAACTGTTTCTAAACTATATTCATGTAATTATTTATAATGTCTTCTAAAATACACTAATTATTGCGTTAGTTTAAAGTTTCAAGGTTGGATACTAACGCCATTGTAAAGGCGTTAACACAATGTAAGATTGTAATCACTTTAGATTTTACTGATAGCCAAAAACGGCTTCTGTATTATTAAACCATCGAGTTTATTGTGTGAAACCATCGACCGATATTATGTTTAAATATACGGCAGTATCTGGACTCTGGTATCTGTATCACATTCTGATAGAAACCAGATTCAACAATATGGTGTATTTCAATTGAAAGAACAGATTATGAACATGTTTGTAAACAAGTCATATCTGCCTGTTTAGTGCAAATGTCCGACGGTCTCTTTACTTAAATTTGAAAAAAAAGTGTAGCCATAATCTCGTGTATGTAGCAATAATCCCTTAACTACTTAATCCTCAAATCCCTAGCCGATCACGACCAGTAACGTTTGCAAGTCCTCTGATGTTGAGGTTTTATATACCTATTTGGCGCTGATTGCTTACCATCATTCGTTTGCCGGTCTATCCCATTTAAGGTGTGTTGTTTATAACATAGAAACAACAATAAATAAATACAATCTCAACACAGTCAGTTCAAGGAAACACTTTGTATGTACCTAACTGGAGAAGACAAATTAATTTCATCTTAAAGTTCACGTGTCAAAACTTATCTTTGATTGCACCGAAATGTTACCAAATGCCAAGCGTTTGTTCCGTGCCCTTGTTGTCGATTTACGATGTTTCTCTTACATCAGACTACGTGTATTTAAAATGCTAATGGCATGAAATCTATTAACTAAATCTGATAACTTTTCGGGCCGAGATTATGATACCTTTTAGTTTTGTAATTTTGTCGACCAAGTATGATATTTTTGATGTTATACGACGACAATTCAGCATACGGATTACCTGATGGTAAGAAATCGGCATCACAACACCATAAGAGTTACGTGAGCGTTGCCTGTATTTTGGGGATTCGGATTTCGGAGATTAAGGGATTAGGGAGGGAGAGCAAGAAGGTTAAGAAATACTGACAATTTAGACGAATCATAATAAGAGTCGGTTGAATGGCCTTTAAAATAAAACGATGAGTATCTTCAAGGATTGACAACTATACGAACGAATATACTTATTGCAATCTATACAATGATGTATAAAACTATAGATACGTTGTCCGCGCTCTAAAATGACAACATGAAATGAAGGCAATTGACAACATCGCGCTTACGCACCAACCTGCAGCGCGACGCTACGTTTGTTTTTAATTTGTATCGTGTGTGTAAACCTGTGCGAAACACAAAGAAAGCATGTCGTCGTGTGTGTTCAGACGATGTACAAATTATACTCCAAAAGTTAAAGACAAAAATGTGGCATTTCATGCGTAAGTTCATCAAACAACCTATTTTTATTTTATTTTTTTCGACGCCGGCGCCCGCCATCTTATGGCGGCCGGCGCATGAAGGTATAGATGTATATTTATCTCCCTCTAGCAAAGGCATTCCACTATACGATGTCATATTTTCTCTCCCTTTCTTTACTCGTAGAAGTAGTTATATAGTATTTTCGCCGTTTTTAAGCGCCGCGATGTTGGTTCATGACGTGTCTATATATAATACGTCATTGAATCTATAGGTAACATTAAGAAATTAAGAATGAATCTCCAGAAGATTATGTTTTCAGTTCACAATATTCACAAACACTGACCTTTATGACTACTTTTTATACCTTTTGTTGCTTTACGAAATATAATCTGTTATTTATTTTATGGTGTACCAAAAAGAATACAAGAAGACTCGTATGATATCTAAGTACACAAATAAGTTGATCCTGAATACCAAAGCAATGAAC